CGCAGGCAGGATTAAAAAACTGGGCCTACGCGCTCGGGCAACCTGAAACTGCACCTAGCGGGAGAATTTCAATGTACAGGAGTATCGCCAAGATCTAAAGGAGCGCAGGATTAAAAAACTGAGCCTACGTGCTCGGGCAACCTGAAACCGCACCTAGCGGGAGAATTTCAATGTACAGGAGTATCTGAGGCCAAGATCTTTGATATCCGCGGAACATGTCAGGTGTTGTGCACGTCTACTTCAGCGGGGCCCTGCGGGTGCCCAACTCTTATTCGGTTAGCCGTCGATTTTCCGGAAGCAGATCATATAAAACTTCGAAACCATATGGTTGTGTTCAAGATAAAGGTAGGTGTCTGCAAAATGGTTCTTCTGCCACCTCAAACAAAACCCCAGCGAAAAACAGGTGCTTTGCGAACCGTTTGTTATTGGAAAATAATAATAATATTTATTCCCAACTTGTGGGTGGCATTCCATCTAAAATGATTATGCTTCTACAGTCAGAATCGGGCATGATTGAGGGATTTGCGGGTAGTGGTGACTGCGCGAAAAAAGGGACAATGTCATAAACAGTGGGAGGTACTCGATTAAATAATAATTATGTTTCTTTTGCAACTTGTAGGGAGCAATAGGCGTGAGGTCCGAGTAATTCAGTGGCTCAGTTAGCTGACATGAACTAAAACTGGAAAACAATTGCTGGCCATGGGTGACCTTGGGCGGCTGTGTAAATGGCCGGAGTCATAACAAGCAAAAGTGGAGGTGAAGATGGGATAATTCGAATTGGGAGAACCCGGCAAGTTTGGTCTCAAAAATATGGTGCAATCTGAGAACAAGCAGACTCACTGGGTGCTCTGTTGCTGGGAAGTCAGGTGATGGGGTTAGATTGGATGGGGACACAGAGGTGGTTGAATTTGAACGAGCAGTCCAATAGGTTGGAATGAATGTCATGGCGGTCGTTGGGGTCAGTGAAACGAGTAGGCAAAAGGGCACGGTTGAGAAGAGGAATGGAACAGTTGCGGGTGTGTTATCAAACTGCGTACGGCAGTGCCGTGCCATCATTGGTCTGACATGCTTCCGTTTTTGGACAGCCCCGTGACGGACGTCACAGATGAGATGATTCGACTTGGGCATGCAGTTCATTGAGCAGCGGTATTCATTTCAG